ATGAGGTACAGCACAGTAGCTGCAGAGCAGCATTCTTGGGCTCTGAGGGTACTGTCTTCTCTTTCTCATCAACCAAAGAGAACCCACAGTTATAAAGCTTAATTATCCTCCAGGAGCTCAAGCTTGCTGACTAATTAGTCTCTTGTTGAGACAATACAGAAAAGGATATAATTCCAATTGTCCGCAAAAATAGGATGGCACAGGCACAGTCCTGGCTCTTGCCTATGTATTTATCTCTCCTGCCTTCTGAGTATGAAGGTAACAGCTTTGATATCCGTGGTTCTGGACAGCCTAAAACCAGTCCCCAGCCTAAAATAAGTCAAGGCAGGGAAGGGAGCTCCGGGAGGCGGGGGTCCGGCTGAAGAGGAAGGGAGCGGTGTGTCTGCGGCAGTGTGCAAGGCAGTCGGAGTGTTCCCGCTGCTCAGCCACAGATGAGCTGGGTGAATCCCGCCTCGCTCCTGTCACTGCACACACACAGGCTGGCAGGGCTCTCACAAATGCAGACTAAGCTGGCTCTGATGCTCAGGGTATTACTACAGCAGTTGCAGGCTCTGTAGTTGCACGGCCACAGTTAGGAGTGCTTAAACTGAAGATGTGCAGCGCAAATTGTTAAAAAAGTAAGGGCTGAAGCTTTTAGGAGCCAAGTTCCTGTCTGACAGACCGCTGTAGTCGAGGGCTACCCCAGCCAAGAAACAGGACCTTGAGGTATACAGCAAAATACCACCAAAAAGGCACAAAAGCCTCTGGCAGATGGGTTCATCCAGCACCTCCCATCACCCCGGTAAGGAAAACGTTTGATGTCCGGGCTGATGAGCAGTACAGACTATCTGCAGTAACATGTCATTCCTGAGTGAGCTTTTACATGAGTTTATGGCATAGCAAGTGCAAATAGCCATTATGGTTAATAAATCAGTCTCGGTAATATTTGCAGTTAGCAAACACACAGGAAGGGAAAATGTCAGACCACATCTGCTCCATACTGAGACAGGAGACACCTGACATTTCCTTCCACCTCAATGACTTCACTGTGCTTGTTTGGCCTTTGAAAACAGCTATTATTGTGCTGAAATCTCAAAGAAACTACTCTCAGTGAACCAGAATCCCCCTTGAAATCCACCTCCTTGATGGCAAGCCTGGATTTCCTGCTGCTTCATTGGAGTGCCCTGGTGGTTCTTCGGTCAGTACCTCCCCTGCACCCGGAGTCACGGGAGCAAAGTAAAAAAGGCACAAATTGGCAGCTTCCTGGGCAGGTCAGCTCTAGACACCCATTCTACATCCTGCAGGGGAGGAATTCAGATCCCACATTTCACACCATCTGGAGATACAGGTCTTCTTCACTCACAGTTTGCTCCCCGCTCGGGCAGTGGAGTCCTAAGGGTTATATAATTTGGCAGTCAAAATATGATGTCTAATTTTCTTGAGGTCCTGCCCAGCCTTTTTAAAATCTGTTTGAAACAAACTGCAGGCTGCTTATCTATCCCTTCCATCACCCGGTTCAGATGGCTCATTTCCATCAGCGTGACAGATGTGCTGAACCTCATCTCATAAAAACACAAAGATTAGACCTGTGAATGTAAGCGCTCCCAAAAATCCAGTTCAGCAGGAGGTCAAAAGTAATTAATGCTTTAACCACTGAATGGTTGCAGGTGTGCAAGGGGAAGCATCTTCCACCGGGCCCTGAGGGAGGGCACCTTCCACCACACGGACACTGCTCCAGGCCTCACTTCAGTCCCTGCATGAGCTCTGCTGAGAAGCAGGTCAGCACAGAAGAGTTGGAATGGAAAAGGTAAGGGACTGTAATTACAGGGGACAAGCTCCAAGCTTTAAAAGGCTCTCAACACTTTGTCCACCAAAAAGCTTCTCCCGGGGCAGCAACACGAGCAAAGGCAGTGGCATCGAGCAGCCTCGTGCCTGTACTGACCTCTATTTAAATTGATAAATGTACGTCCATGGGCTGCAGCCCCGGGACATTCTAGCCTGGCATCCACCAAGGAGATGGTCCCACCACAGGAAGGCTCTTACCAGTTCACATCAGTATTTTTAAGCAGGGTCCCAGAGCAAACAAAGCACAGGATTTGGAAGTACAGATTGGACACAGTAAAAGGAGCATCTAAGGTCAGTTCTGCCACATCAAACTATACACGAGCTCTGCATCGGGGTGAAGGATAATTAAAAGTATATGTATATGTACGCCATATGAAAGTTCAGTTCCTGCTGGGGAGAAGCCAAAACACCAGCTTCCCACACCCCACACCAAGGTCTGTGTAGGCACAGAGGAGAGCCAGCCAAGCTACTTGAAAAACAAAACTGATTCATTTGCAGGGATCCAAAATCAAACCCTCGAGACAAGGAAAAGATGCCGTGATTTGCTTTTTGGAAGACAAACTCCTCCCCAGCCTCACCTTGGCTAACCTGGGCTCCAGATGTACCTGTAGTGGGACAGAGTGGGGGGGCACAATCAAAGCTGTCACCTCTGCATGGAAAAGGGGGAGATGCTCCCCTTTCCAGAGTGTGTCAGGACCACATGCATCTTGGTCAGTTTTAGTATTTTGGTTAATAAAAAAATCTCACCCTTCTGTCTCAAAAAGGGGCTGTGCCATGCACAGGCTGTTGCATCGCACTATGGAAAGAATGTTTGGGAGCAGACAAAGGCTGATGCTGAAAAGCATTTTTAAATTCAGGCTTGAAACAGTCTGCCTTTTAACACCCTTATTTTTAAGAGCAGGAAAATGAGGGATTGTTCCTTTTTCCCTCCTTCACAGGGTCAAAAGGGGAGGATATGGGAACAGGTTTTCCTGCGTTCAGTTTTCAGGAGGATTTTTTTTTTGCCAGTCTGCTTTCTTTTTACCACAGGCATGAAACAACCCACGGCAATCTCGTCCCTTTGAGCTGACCCCTGAAATGAATTTATGGAACACCCCTTTGAAGACGGATTTGCAGAAGGCAACGTTGCTCTTCCTTCAAGGAATCTTAATCTCTGCAAATGAAGTTCGTGAACAGAACAGAACAAAACCGGGGGGCCTACAGGCAAGCCGGAGAGAGACTTCATCAGGTACTGTAGTGACAGGACAAGGAGTAATAGGTACAGACTGAAAGAGGGGAAATTCAGGTTAGTTATCGGGAAGAAATTTTTCCCTGTCAGGGTGGTGAGACACCGGAACAGGTTGTCCAAGGCAGGTTGCGGCTGCTCCATCCCTGGCACTGTTCAAAGCCAGGTTGGACGGGGCTTGGAGCAGTCTGGTCTAGTGGAGGTGTCCTGCCCATGGCACGGGGGTCTGGGACTAGATCTTTAAGGTCAATTCCAACCACGTAACATTCGGTGATTCTAAATCTTCGCTATGACCAGAAAGTCACAGCCGGGGCACAGATCGGGGACCAGCACCGGCACCGCACCCGCACGGACACACAAAGCACCGCTCGCAGGATGCTTGGCGCGTTCGTAATCACAAGTTAAAACGCCGATAGCGCCAGCGCTGCACAGCGATGCCGTGCGCGCAGCCCTCGCACCCCCCGCTCCCCCCATCCCCGCCCGGCTCTCACCTCCCCTGCGCGGCGGCGGGGTGCCCGGCGGGGCCCGGCCATCAGCACCCCATGACGGGGCGGCGGCGCCGGGGCTCCTCCGCGGCGCTTCAGCACCGTGCGGGGCCCATGCCCGGGGCGGCGGCGGCGGCCGGCGGGCTCCTCATGTCGCCATGACGGGCGAGGGAAGGCTGAGGGGAGGTTGGGGGTGGAGGGTGGGGGGGGGAAAGGTAGGCGGGCCGCCGCCGCCCGGGAGGGAGGGAGGGGGTTAAAATAAAATAAAATAAAATAAAAATGAAAAGGGAGGGGGGGGGGAGCGAGAGGCAGCCCGCAGCCAGGCGCTTCCCGGGGGGATCGGGGAGGGGGGGTAGGAGGGGAAGAAAGCGCCGGCGAGGCGGCGCGAGCGCCCCTCAGCGCGGAGCCGCCTCACCGCCTCCCCTCAGCGCCGCCGCCAGGGGACAAAGCCCCGTGTGAGGAGGGGCGGAGGCCGCCGGGGGCTGGAGGCGGTTCTCCCCTCCCGGTTCTCCCCCCGCCGCCCGGTGAGGGTCCCGCCGGCGGGCGGCTGTGAGGGGGAGTCGGGGAGGGGAGCGGGGATTCTTTTCTCTGGCGGAAGAATCGCGCGTCTCGGTCGCTTCGCGAAGGCATCCGCGGTGCGCGTGCGCGCGGCTTCGCGAGAGCGCGGAGGGGACCTCGGAGCCGGGCCGGGGACGGCGTTTAAAGTGTTTAAAGTTGCGTTTGAAACGCTCGCGAAGCGATGAGAAAAGGCGTCTGTTTGTAGTTTAACCCCTTCTCGTGTGGACCCTCAGCAAAAGCGCCGAGTTCTTGCCTATTCTGTGCCCATCCCGTGTCTCCCAGCCTGCGTGTGCTGGGACAGACCTCCTTGTTTATTCCGTATAGATCCCTTATTTACTGCCCTCCCTGCAGAATGTAAACAGGAATTTGCCCTGGACTTTATTTGCTTCCTTAGGCCTTTCCCCAGCACAAAGGGTGTCACTGCACTTTTCCTTCTCGTATCCTGGCTGGCATTCCCACTGACTGCATGAGTGCCAGGGAAGCTGAGATGTTGTCTTACACCTCCATTCTTTAAGAACTGGACAACTAAACTTGTGAATGTCCCAGGTTTTTTTGTAACCTAATTTTCTTTTTTTTTTTTTAAATGGGTTTGGGACTGTGTTACAATACAGTATAGCAGAGACCAGGAACAGAATAAATACTTGGCATGCAAATCCTGGCATGGTGAGGAGCGTCAGAATCTTGCCACACCACCAGAGGTTGAAATGAACAGATAAAAGCAAGAAGTTCAGAGCAAAGGCAACTCGTTTTCTTTAAACTCCTTCCAGTGTCTGTAATTATTGGCTGTTCTGACAGCACACAAAGGAGGATTTCCTCTAGAGATAGTAAGCACAGTGACATAAATCAAGCACGGGGAGAGCATAGGTTGTTTTGTTTTTTTTTTTTCAATTTATTTCCTGACAAATTAACTCTGAATCGGTTTGCTAAAAATTCATCTGTCACAGGCTTTTTTTAACCCTTTCCCTAGTAGCTTATAAGACTGAAATGAAAGGCTATTTTTGCTGCAGCAACCCCTCTATGCATGGGGTGAACTGCTCTTGGAATCCAAGCCTTCCATTTTTATTAATTTTCACCTTGAGTTTTCAAACCGAGAAGGTGCAGAGAAGGGCAAGTCCCGCTGGAATTTTATCCCGCTTTCACAATTCCATTCTAATTCTTCTGGGACTCGTTGCTTAAGAGTCGGCGTTTAAGAAGTCTGTAAAGCTGTGGCAGTTTTCCAAGATCCCACTGGTAGTTTGTGGCAGTCACCACAACCAAGGGATTTAGAGAGACACTGCTGGGAAAGAGAGAGAGGCAGCCAGCAAGAATTCCGTGTGTTTGTCCAGGGAAAGAGGCAGTATTAAACCTAGAGAAAAGAAATGACCTCGGTGATTGCAATGAGGCACACCTGGAGCACGGCCACTGTCCAACGGCAGGCAGGTGTTTTGCATTGGACTTGATGCCCTGGACAAAAGCTGGATGTCTTGGAGTGGTGGAAAGACTCCCAAGGGCCATGTCAGCCAAGGAAGAACACTTTGGTTGCAGGGGTTCACAGCCAAAAACTGAAATGCGGAAAAGGGATCTCGCCCCGATAGGAAGGACCTGGGGGTGCTGGTGGATGAGAGGCTGGACAGGAGGTGTCCATGTGCATTGGGATTGTTCAGCCTGGAAAAGAGAAGGCTTTAGGGTGACCTAATTATGGCCTTCCAGTGCTGGAGGGGAGCCTGTAAGAAAGATGGAGAGAGACTATTTACAAGGGCCTGGAGTGACAGACCAAGGGGGAATGGCTTCAAACTGAAAGATATTAGGTTTAGATTGGATACTGGGAAGAAATCCTTCCCTGTGAGGGCAGTGAAGCCCTGGCACAGGTTGCCCAGAGAAGCTGCGACTGCCCCATCCTTGGAGGTGTCCAAGGACAGGTTGGACGGGGCTTGGAGCAACCTGGGCTGGTGGAAGGTGTCCCTGCCCATGGCAGGGAAGTGGAATTGGGTGAGCTTTAAGGTCCCTTCCAACCCAAACCATTCTACGATTCTGCGTATCCTTGCAGCAGACATTTCTGTCTATTTTTAAACACCCTTCAGAGAAAAAAAAATGGATGGTCTTGTGGTTTGGCTCTGTGTGGTGCTGTGGAGACCCAAGTGCTGCTCCCTGCCTGACTTTTGACCAGTCAGTTAAACGCAGGGATGCAAAGGTTAAGGCTCATTTTCATACCCACCCAGCTTCGGTGCACTCAAAGTTCAGCAAGGGCTCGCAGAGCTCGAGGAGTTCAAACCTGTGTGCAGACAGCAGCTGCAGAGCAAGGATAGATTCACCCTCGTGTTGGGCAGGCTGGGAGGCTATATTCAAATAGTTTGTCAAGAATTTGAATATCCCGAGGGGCTGGAAACATGCAAACTTGTAAAAACAACTGCTGTTTGGGTTTAGCTGGTCAGGTTCGCTCTGTGACAGAGTTATCCCTGTGGTTTTCCTTGTGTTTGTGCTTTGGCTCCAGTCATTACATAACTTATCTATATTTATTGCTAGCCTGTGATCCAGGCGGGCTTGGAGTAGCCCAGAGGAGGCAATATTGATGTTGGTTTAAAGAACAGAATCTTTAAAAAAAATAATGGAAACAGACTCTCAGGATTTCTTGGTTTTCCAAAAGCTGCAAAGAAAGTTAAACTCCATTTTCTTTGTGAGAGGCACAGTTTGCAAGTGTGGAATGTTGGGAAAAGCAGCAGAAGGTAATAAGGAGAATCCTAAAAACATAGTTTACGGTGAAATGACCTGGCAAGGCTTTGCTCAGCTTCCAGGGAGGAAGTGCTCGTCAAAGAAAAATCATTGGCACATAGGAACTTTCCCAGAGGAATGAAATGGGTTTGAGCACTGAACTGTCTGATCTCTGTGAGAACTGAGCTATCCAAAATCGTTAGTTAGTTTTGAAAAATCTTACCCTTTTTTGTGCAATGAATGAACCAATGGAATGCTGATTTTCCCAGTAAGTTGTGTGGAAATCAGAATATACGAATTATTAGGCTGCTCTGCCTTACAAGTACATCGGCCGTGCTTGTTCCTACAGGCAATAATTGGCTGCCCTTTGAAAAAAAAATAATCCTCTCTTCCTGGAGAATATGTGGCAAAGGACAAAAAGAAACTAGATGCAGGCTCCTTCGTTTCTCTGAGCTCAAATGCAGATTTGCACCGCAGCTGTTAAAGGCTGCTGACCTCAGAAACCATCATCAGCAGAATTACAGGAGTGTCACCTCCAGTGGAACATCCCCACGGCCTCTGAGGACTTCGTACCTGTTCCCACCCTGCTCTTCCTACCAGCGGGAATCTAAATTATTTACTAGGAAAACAAACCCTCGTATCTGAGCTGCACAAGGTTCCCTTTCCTATCTGTTCCCAGCACGGAGCTTCTCGAAACACCGAGACACAGTTCTGCTTTCCACCGGAGCTGTGAAATACGTGCTCACATTTAGCAAACGAAGCACCTCTTTCACCTCATTCAGTGATTAATTCAGAGAGGAGAACTGCAGGCACTAAATTAACCTTTTTACCTGATTTAGTTTTACTAAATAAACAGCCCCATAATGTAATTTTCTCAACCAGAACAGCTATTTCCTGCGGTTTGCTTTCCTATTTGGAACGTGTTCCATTCCGAATCTGTTTCATTTCACTCGGTAACAGTAATACCTTCAGACTGTGTCCCTTTTCCCTAGGGATCACACCTGTAAATCCAGCATTCTTCCTAAAAAATAGATGATTAGTCAGAAATGGCTGTCACAGCACGCAGGAGCACCAACAGCAGATAGGAATGTGCCTCCTCCTCAACAGCATTCCCAATTTTACCTTTTAGTATTGGCAGCGTGAATGACACGGGGGTGTCAATTAATATCCAGGTTTTCTTCCATTTTTCCCTTCCAGAACATCAAAATTCCTCCCTTTTCTCCGTTGCTTTTAATCAGCTGACATTGGTTATGCTCCAGTGTAGACATCATCGTTAATAAGTGGGTAGTTTATGTCCCGGGGAGTTGATAGCAGCACTGCAGGAGCTCATAACCTTGCCCAGTGTGTGGTGTTGCTGTGCCACTTGTAGCCCTGCCTTTTCCCAGGGATCGTTTGCCGCCCCGTAACAGTGATTTTCACTTTTCCATGAGGATCAGGATCATGTTCACTGAGGGTACATCTGAGAGAGTGTATCTGAATTATCTCTTCTGGCAAGTGTCAAGGGGATGTTAGTGAAACGTGCCTGGATAAGGTAGCTTAGGACACAGCTATGCTGGAAATGTTCTTGCAGCTGTTCCTTGGAAAACATCTGTGGGACTGGGCGTGGAAATTTGTACATCTCTGTTCACACCAGCACAGAGCAATTTTCCTCTCGTGCAACAAAGTATAAATTATTGGGAAATAAGGACATTATGCACCAATGGACATGAAATGACTAAAGGTAGTCATCTGGAAAGCAAGGGGAGGAAATGGAATATTCCTTACTGGCACAGGAATAACATAAGCAGACTCCACAAGAATTCCAGTACTCCAGCTTCTAGTATTTGAGTAGGAATAACCACTTCTCTAGACTCCATTACTTACATTTACAGTTGGAAAAAACCTTCCATCTGTGACAGTCTGTGTTTGTATTGTCCGATAAAGGGAAGAATGTACAGGTTGATGTTATTTCGTATTTATAATTAGTGATTATCCCTATGCAAAGTGAAAAGGACATTGTCCCAAAGAAGTCAATGACATACAAGAATTTAAGTAAGTGTGGTAAAGGAGAGAAAGGAGTGTTTCATTTTGTAAGTATCTTCATATTGACTCGTGGATGCTTTGTGCAAAGGGACCTCGGGCCTCTTAGAGTTTAATCCCAGTTATAGATAATGGAATGTTAAATTAGAAAATAAGGGTTAAATCATAAAATAAATTTACAATATCCATTCCCAGCCTTCATAACTGAGTGCTTCCTACCAAATCATTTTACTCAGCAGCTGCCTGGTTCTACAGGCAGAAAGGTGACTGCTTCTCTTTTTTTTTTTTTTTCTTTTCCATGGGTTAACTTTTAATGACTAATTTAAATTCCATTTATGCAGAATCCCTATGATTTTGAAAACACCTCCTGAAATTATGCACGACTACCTTTCCAAAAAAAAAAAAAACCAAAAAAAACCCCAACTTTCCAAAGCCATAAGTACAACACTGCCTAGAATTATCCTGTCAATTAAATAAAAGAACCCACTTAAAATAAGTGACAGAAATACACAGTGAATTAAACGCACCTTCCAGTAACAAATGGTTATTAAAGGAGACCTCTGAGCAAACTGCTGGTTCCGTGGTCATGCTTGGACAAGCACAAGGCTATTGAAACACACAGCTGCCTTTCAGACAATTTAACTTGCACTGAAGGCAAATTATCGCCATTTGATGTCATTCTCTTGGCTTCTCAGAGGTTCCCTTCGCTGCACAGCAGTGTCAGGGGGAGCAGGACTGGGGCTGCAGCTCCAGCTGCCGATCCAGTGCTGCCTGAACCGTCCTCCTGCAGAAAACGGGCTTGAGCATCTGGTAGTAGTAGCTGAAAAAAGGCAGGGACAGATATTTTAATGGGCTTGGAGAAGCAGTATGGGGTTCTGGCAATAGCTGGAATGGGAATCGGGGAGGACTAAGACAAAGGGCACCTAAACCCACCCCCTGCAGAAGTCATGAATAATAGTTGCAGTCACTGGGTAAGCTCTGAAGTGTGTCACACATTTGGAGTCTTTCCTGCTTCCTCCCTTTTTCTCAGTGCCCAGAGAGCAGAGTTTCAACAAGGTGGGGCAACAGCAACAACCCATGAGCAACAGAACTGCAGATATTGTTGCCGTGGCCCTGGTGAAGTCACCACGAGTCCCTTCCCCTTGGTGCTGTCTGTATGTGAGGGTTTGCACCGCTCTGGGGGTGACGTTCCCCCTTCCTCTTCCCATGCCAGAGCCCTTTTCAAAGCCTCCAAAATGAGACTGGATGATGTTAAAAACATAGGTTGCACTGGACTGTTGGCTCTTTGCTCCAGATCTTTCCAGCTCTGTGTAGAGAGGCCTTTGTGACAACGCAGGCTCACCAAAGAGCCAGCTCACACTCTCCAGACTTTTCCTCGCTCTCTGTCGGTATCAGGGATCATGGAATTCTGTGCTTCCCAGCATACCTTACATGGGCTCGCTCGACGCTGTGAAATAATAGACAGGGGCCTGTCCCTGGTGTTATTTCTGGAACAGAATCCTTTTGTGTCAGTGAAGGCTTGGAATTTCCTTCACGATTCGGGATTTTAGCACTACAAGCAGTTGAATTTTTTAGCTGTGTTTCACAAGGTTTCTGCCAGCTACTGGGAATAAGGACATTTTCTAGTACATTTTTGGATTTCTCTCCTCTAGTAATCTCATCTTGGGAGCCTCGTCCCAGGACTGTGGTGCAGCTGTGCTGGTATAGAGGTATTTATATAAATAAGGCAGCTTTTACTTTCGGTAAACAAAGTATGTGGTATCAGTACATGGCAGATTTATTTAAATGAAAACTTACAGTCCATCCTAAACTTATTGTTTCCATTGATTTGTGTTTGGGTCCTGTCAGCTCAAAATACTTTCTGCTCTAAGTTTCCTGAGCAAACAATCTGGGTTTCTTTTTTCTGCCCTCTCCCTTCCTTATTCCAAGAGCTGTTTGGAACTTGGGGTGTGGTCTCTGGGACTAACAGACTCTGGATTTGTCCGTGTGGCCAGTGAACCTCTTCCCCAACACCAACCTCCTATTTACATTATTCCTTTATTGGGAAGCCTGCCTCTCCCTTTTTCTTGTGGGCAGCATGTAATAAATCTGAATAAATTCATTTATTTATGAATGCTGAGCCTGACTTCCGTGGGCACGAGGTGAGGGGTGTGGAATTACACTCCTCTGGAGAGACAGGAGCTGCACTGGTGGGGACATTGCTCCTATGGCTACTGGAGGATCAAATGCCACTTCCCTCCGGGGGCTGCTGTCTGGGGAACAAGGTTTTAAGTTCTGACAGACATAGGAATCATTTCATCTCTTTGAATGTTTCCTCCCAAAGGGCCTGGTGAGGGGAAGCCCGTGCAAAGGCTTTTGATAGCTTGTATCCCCAGGCACCGGTCCCGCTGCTGCTAAAAGCAACAGAATCTGCGAAACATTTCTCAGATACATATACATACCTGTGTGTACATGTACAAAGCTGTGGAGCCTCTGTATCTGTTTTCTAATAGGTGCATTTTGGTACAGAAATGCAACTCTGTGACTTCTGCCTTCCAGTTGCCAGCACTGCTGCTGCCCTCCATACCGGGGTGATGGGGCAGCAGTGGAGCACTTGGATTAATTAGTGGCCATAAATGGTGTGGAGTTCTTTGGTTGAGTGGTTCGAGGGAACTGTTGTTCCAAGTGACCCCTGTTTTCCTTCCGTGGGTGGGCAGAGTGGGCAGACTGTTTGTGTCTGGAGCGTTAATTACTCTGTGTCCCTTAATCAGGAAGGTTGTAATCCTATTTCAGTGTGGAGATCCACATGCCACGGGGCCCAATCAGCACCCCCGATATCATCCCCTGCCAGTCAATACACAGCCATTAGCCATCCAGAACTATTCCCGAGGAACTGCTGTGCAGACATGCCAGGACAAGTCTTGCCAAGCCACACTGGAAGACAGTTTAGCAAGGCTGGTTAAAATAATCCCAGTTTAATGGGACGTGCATCTTTGGGTTCCCAAAGAATGTCAGGCAGGAGTTGCTGCTCTCTAAAGCACAGCATGTTACAGAACAGATAAATTGTGTTTCCTCAGAATACTGAAAACACTTCTCATCCCCTCCCCCCCACATTCGCACTTCCCTGGATCCCAAATAAATGCCACATTGAAAGAAAATTATTCCTTGCATAAGCGAAAAAAAAGAAAACAACAACAGATTTTGTTTCCTGACCTCACCACGACTCCTCCTTTTCCCACAACACTCCATTGTTCTGCCAGGTCCAGACAGCATAGACTCGTTTTCCCTGGTTTTAATCCCAAAGCTGGAGTCCATCACTTACAGTAAGGATCCTTGGGGTTTGGTGGGGTTTTTTCTCGATCCTACTCAGCTGTTTGCAACAAATGAGTTAATTACCGAGGAACAAAGATGAGGCAGGGATCCTTCTCTCCTAGCTTGGGAAGTGAGCCATGCTCTGATAAGAGATTTCCCCCCTCAGGTTACGTGATGTATTGAAGGATAATTTTTCAGTGTGTTCTATTAGGTTTAAATTAGGAAAGGGAAAGGAACGTATGTGTTCAAGTAGGTGTCTGAATTGGTATTTTTAGAGCTGTCATGCTCTGTGCTTGCAAAATGAACCTTTTCTGTCCTTTAGGTAAACTGGAACTTATGTTCCACTATGCTGGAGGAGGACAAACAGCCATGTTCCATATCTGTGGTGGCAAAATACACTTCAGAACGTGGGGAGAAATAAAAGGAGTGACCGCCCAGGGCTTTTGGAGAACAGAGACTGGAGCCGAGAGCCTCATCCTGTAAATGTCACCTGGATGATGTCACTGCATGGAACCAGTCGGAAGTTGGTTCCACTCACAATTGTTAACAATTAATTTTTCAAACTGGAGCAGATCCACAGCTCCCACTTCAGAAGCTACAATGGCTTTTGTCCCCCCCTCCCAAAAATCAGCCGGTGCGCCGGTTCATTCACCGTGTGATGGGAGGGATGCTCAGGTGTAGCTGGTGGTACCTACAGGAGCGCTGGCCCCCGTCAGGAATTACCCTGAGGAAAAGTCTGTTTACGGGACTCTTGGAGCGCTTGGCATCCAAATAAACTCAAAGGAAGCGTTGGCCGTCATCGCTGGCAGAGCAGACAGGGACTGTGCCTCGAAATAGCGCTTGGCAGAGGATCGCTGCTGACGGCTCGGTGGAGAAGGCGGATTTGCTTTCCCAGACCGAGACATTTCATAAACAGTTTCTGTTTGTTGGAGCTGTGGAACCTCACTAGATCAAACCCAGTCCTAATCTGCTGGAGCCGCCTCCACAGGCTTTTGTCTCCAGTGTGTACACACAGCCAGTCGCTGTGGTTTGGGTCTGTCCTAGGACATTTATCCCTTTGTGTTTGTCCACGAGCACGTTGGGGCAGCCCCACAAATCCTCCAGACGATGGGGTTTTTGTTTTATCTGGTCAAGCTGCAGGCTGAGAAGGTCTTTGATGCAGCCTCTGACTTAGGGGCCGACCCGCCATCTCCTTCCTGACACACCGAGCCTTGGATTCACTCCACGGGATGGGAAGCTTGGAAGTGCGCATCCCAAAAAACTCTGCCACACCAGGCTGTACGTAAACCTGTCGATTTGAAGCAGGACGCGGAGGGGTTTTAAAATCCAGGCGGGTGTTTGGAAGCCTCAAGGAACAGCACGAGGAGGAGGGTCCCACAGAGACACACATTAAACCCGCGGGGGCTGAGCACTCGTCCTTACCCTGCGTGGGGACACGGGATAAGGCAGGACGGGCGGTGCGGGGGCAGAGGAGCGCTGTGGCACACGGTGCCCGCCGGGCCAGGCCTGAGGGGGCGCGCGCGGGCCCCTCGCGGTTGCCGGGGCCCGGAGCTGTGGGCGAGGCAGAGGCAGAACTGGCCTGACCAATCAGGAGAGACCCGGCCACGGCCGCCGGCCAATCGGCGCCAGTAAACAACACGCCCCCCCCCCCGCGGGGCGGGGCGGACCAATCAGGACGCGGGAGATTTGGGCGGTCTTTTCAAAACGGCCGAGGCGCCGCTCGCGGCCCTTTAAAGGCGCAATGCGGCTATTTGGCGTGTCCCTCCGCGCGGCCTCGCCGTCCATCCGGAGCGGCACGGTGCCGCCCCGCTCCCCACCGAGCCGGAGCGCCGCCGGGCCGCCGCGCCTTTCTCAGACCTCCGGGCGTTCTCGGAGCGCCGCCGGGCCGCGCGGGTGTGAGCGGACTATTTGTCTTCCGCGCGCCGCCTCACCAGCGGGAATCGCTCCGCGCGGGACAACAAAAGGCGTGGGCGGGGCCGCGGGGCCGCCATCTTGGAGCGGGGCCGGGTTGGGGGCTGCAGCAGCGGCGGCCGGGGGCGGTGTTGTGATGGTGCCGTGACGGTGCCGTGACTCCCCGCGGGAGTCCAGGCCGCCCTGCCTGGATGCGGGGCCAGCGGCCGAGCCCACCCCCGTCCGCGCGGTGACGGGAGCCGGGCTCGCCTCCCCCTCCCCGAGCGCTGAAGGGCCGCGGGGGGGGCCCGGCGCCCCCTCGTCCCCGGCCTGCGGGGCCCCTTTGTTTCCCAGGTGCGGAGGGGAAGGAGGAGGAGGAGGAAGGGGAAGATGGGCAGCGAGGCGCTGTGGCTTTTCAAGCAGCTGAACCTCCACCTGGAGCTGGAGGGGCGGTTCCAGCCCCGCGAGAAGGGGCTCAGCCTCATCGAGGCCGCCGCCGAGGTGGGTGAGGAGGGCCCGGGCCGCTGGGCTGGGAAGGGGGGTGGGGGCAGAAAATGCGTGGTTTTAAAGAAAATTCGAGGTAATAGTGGACGTGCGTTACCTGCGAAAAGTTAATTCTTTCCTCCTTATGCGCCGCTTACCTTTTGTTTTAACTCTGCCTTAATTCGTAGGTGTTAGCGTTGCATTATCCAAGAGCTGCGACCTGCAGGGCAAGCAAAATATTTAGGCGTTTAGTATTTATTGTTTAGGTTTAGAGCGAGCACAGGAGCAAGCGGTTCTGTATTGTTTTCATCAGGGGAGCCTCCTGCCACCGCAGGGAAGGTGGGATGTCAAGCGGCTTTTCATTAGCGAGGTCTGGGGAAACGAACCCAGAAGCGCTCAGTGCTTTGACAGCAAAATGTAAATTGGCCGTAAACATCTCCACGTAAAAGACCAAAGTTCCTCGGAGTTCAGGGAGGGCTGCGTTCTATCGGGTGCCTGGGAGGTTTTTTTTGGGGGGGAAGGGCCCTAATGTTTAACAAAAACAAGTCCCTGAAACGAGGCTGCCTGTTTGTTGTGAAAGCAGAGCTGTTGTTCCTTAAATATTGACGCTGCAGGCAGACAGCTGTGTGGTCATCTCTAAGGTCAGGAGCCACTGTGTATGCCCGCACTTGGTAAATAAGTCTGAAATATGCCTTTACATAAGAATTGGAAATGTGGCTGTGCTGGGTGTTGCTCTGGTGAGACTCAGGATCTGGCTGTAACCTCTGTACCTTGGGTGTGATTGGAATCTCAAGTAGTCTAAATATTTTTTTAAAGTTAAGTGAAATAAAAGTATCTGAGGAAAAAAATTGCTTCCGTTTGATATAAATAAAAGATGATTTAGGGAGCGAGTGGTCCCGGTCACTGCTGCTGCTGCCACAGAATAATCCTGACTTTGTCTGTCTTGCCATAGAACGAAAACACTCTGTGTCCAAGACAAAGGAATGCCAAGGTGGAAGATCTTTGGAGCCTGACCAACTTCTTTGGATTTGCAACCGAAACATTTGTTTTGGCTGTCAACATCCTGGACAGATTCTTGGCCCTTATGAAGGTACAAGTGTGGCTGTTGATTCATTCTGTGCTAGCAACAGATCTGGAGTCTCCTTTGGAAACCTGGAGCACAGTTCTTTTACCTCTAAAGACAAGTAGCAGGTTGATTTATTTCTCTAATAAGTCTGTAGCCTTTGCCATGTAGATGTTTAAGAAAGGAGGAATTAAGAAAAACAAACCTGTTTGTCTTCCAGACTGTCTCTGGGTACTGTGCTAAAGCTTAACTTAGCTCTGGAACTGATACCGAATGATAAATTTCCTGGTTGTTTTTATCGTGTCTGTGCTGGTTTAAGGCAGGAAATCTGAACCTAAAGCAGTTCCCTGTTATTAAATCAGCAGAAAAACTGAAGTTGCATCAGGCTTGTGGTCTGACTGTCCTTGAGGTGGCACAAAACGGGTGGGAGAGAAGAGCAGAGGCAGGAGCAAGTTGTGGAGGGATGGGGCTGCCTGGAACAGGCTCAGACTGGATCTGTGTGGGCTGTCAGTGAGGGAAGGTGAGCACTGCCGCTCGGGGAAGTGAGGAATTACAGCTCTCACTGCAGTGGATTTGTGTAGTGATGTGGAACAGCCCGAACAGAGGCTGCTCAGCTCTCCAACTTCACTTCCTCTGCCCCGGCAGATCGATGCTGCTTGGTGGGCTCTGCCAGCTGGGTTGTGCTCCAGCTGCACTGCTGCAACTGGTTTTGACTGGGGGCAGTGGAGGAGCTGGCTGTGACACCAGGTTTAGTTGAGATAAGCGAGCCCTTGGCTGCTGAACTGTGAATATTCCGGGCGCTGTTGCCGTGCAATCAGGGTGCTCGTGGGGAGGGAAGTACTCACAGCGCTTCCTGTACTTTTTCAGGTGAAGCCAAAGCACTTGTCTTGCATTGGAGTTTGCTGCATCCAGCTGGCCGCCCGTGTGGTGGAGGAGGAATGCAACGTCCCCGCTGCTCCCGAGATCATCCGGATCAGCCAATGTAAATGCACTGTGTCCGACCTGAAACGGATGGAAAAGATCATTTCAGAAAAGTTGCACTTTGAATTTAAAGCTACTACTGCCTTAACCTTCTTGCACTTGTACCATACTATTGTACTCTGTCATACCTCAGAAAGGTGAGTGAGCCCTTTTTGCCCCCCTGATTCCCTCCCAAAGGGTCACAGCGTTGGCTGTAGAGGAGGCAGCTCCTCAATTTTTTTACTTCCTGACAATGGAATGCTTGTTGATCCACGTCCTTCTCCTCTTGGGTGTCTCACAGGAAAGAAGTATTGAATCTGGACAAGTTGGAAGCACAGCTGAAAGCTTGCAACTGCCGTCTGGTCTTCTCTAAAGCAAAAGTAAGTAGAAGTGGTTTTCTTTACTTTCTGGGTAGGGTTATGATTCTCTTTATATTGAGTGCTGTTTCCTTGTCCTTTTAGCCATCTGTCTTGGCCTTGTGCCTTCTCACCCTGGAAGTTCAGATGTTGAAATCTGTTGAGCTGCTGGAGATCCTTCTGCGTGTTCAGAAGCATTCAAAGGTAAATATTGTCAGTGGATTGTTTGTCCAGTTGCTGGGGCTGACACTGTTAGTGATGGAAGATGTTGCATTTAAGGGACCCCTTAAGTGGGTCCCTGAGTATGTTTTTAGAGGTTTGGTTTGGCATCAGCTGAAAGAAGCGATTAAAAAATGTATAAAATCGGGAGAACTGCTGAGCCGGTGCCCGTGCAGTGCACGCTTTAACAAGCAGCTGATTGAACTTGTGCAGCTCTGGCTGTGTGCTCTGGAGAAACTTCCAGTCTGTTCGTGGGACTGCTGGGCTGGTTATTCTTTTTTTTGCCTGAATAACTGGACCCGAGGAAACAGCATGGAGCTGTGTCAGGGGAGGTTTAGGATGGATATTAGGGAAAGGTTCTTCACCCAGAGGGTGGCCAGGTGTGAAAGACAGCAATTGTACAACCCCAGTTTCTTGAGGGGTGAAAGTAGTTCCTTAAAGGACAGTATTATTCCATTTTAAAAAGGAATTTTAAATTTTTTCATTCCATTTTAAAGTGGAATAACCTTTGTTTCATTTATCCTCGGGAAGTGATAATGAAAACGTTAACAGCTTGACAGGCAAACTTGTCAGCTCAGACTTGAACATGGCCTTGTCTGGGAGGTGTGTAGGAGTTGGTGGGAGTTCACCTTCAAAAGCAACTTTGACAAAGGTATCACGGTCATGACTCACTTCTCTTGAGTGATGCTTTTTCCAGGGGGGTGAAATGGAGGGGTTATCTTTAGAGCCCGTGTGTAACAGACTAAATAACTTCTTTGGGTTTTGTTTCTTTTCAGATAAGTGATGGTGACCTACTTTACTGGAGGGAGCTGGTCTCGAAATGCCTGGCAGACTATTCCTCCCCCGAGTGCTGCAAGCCTGACCACAAGAAGCTGGTTTGGATTGTTTCCAGACGAACAGCCCAGAACCTCCAGAACAGCTACTACAGCGTTCCCGAGTTGCCAACGATTCCGGAGGGGGGATGTTTCAACGGGAGCGAGAGGTCGGTAAAACTGCCACCACCTGGTTCATTTGTTGGGAGTTCTCCTTTTCCTGTAGTGTTCATGGCAGCTCCCTGTCACTAGGCTTTGTTAAAATGACCTTTCCCACTGTTCCTTCCAGTGAAGACTCCTGTGAAGACATGAGCAGCGGAGAGGAAAGCCTGAGCAGTTCTCCTCCCAGTGACCTGGAAGGCACCTTCTTCTTCGAACTCAAACCCAAACCCAAGTGGCAGACTCTCAGCTGTGGGTCTTAGCATTACATCTGGACTGTATTAGGTTGAGGTCTCTAATGCACCATAGAGTCTTTTGGCAATAATAAATAAGGTGGTAATCCGTAAACTGTATTAAGGCAAAGACTTGCTGTGGTATATCAGTGCTTTGAATGCCTGCCTTGATTTTTCTTGTTGTTGTAATTTTAAGGAATTAAAAAGAAAACACTTTCAGGTCCCCAGATCAGCAAAAAAAAAAAGTTCTTGTATAGCTCTGTTGTCAGCAGCCATGAATGTAGCCCTGTACCTGGTGGTCCAAACCCCTCAGCAGCTCAGCACCTGAGCTGATTTCAGGGTCTTGACTGAGAAGCATGGAGCAAGAGCGAGAGGCTTTCCTGGAATTTAAATGTGCTCCATGGGGACAGTCAAGCATGGGATTGGCCCAGGAGGAGCTGTGCAGTCCTTGTCCTGGGATGTTCTTGGGTTTCAGCATGACAAACACCCGGGCTTGGCTTGAATTCAGCTTTGACCCTGCTTTGAGCAGGAGGTTGGCCTGGAGCCCCTCTGGAGGGCAGCTCCACTCCCTGCTGGGGTGGGATTAGATCCAGCGGGCTGAGTAGGTTGTGTGGAATGGTGTGTGTACGTAGTGCCAGGCTGGAATGGTTTACTCTCCAATGGGCCAAACACAAACTGCTTTTCCTTTTCAGCAGGGTCTTGAGTTGTGTACCCCAAGTAGCAATTTTTTGAAGCTTGGCTTTTATTAACTTCAGGGATCCCTGTTTCACACCAGGAGTGCGTGTGGTCAACAGGAGTTTTCTAGTCAATCTAGTTTTCACTGAGACAGTACAAAGTGCGTGGCCAGGAGTAATTTCATGTTTCCTTTAATACGGCTGTTTTTACCCTGAAATCCACATTGTATACTCCAGTGTCTTTCCAATCCTAACATGTCAATCCATGCTATTAGCTTAGACTTCTTAACATGGTAAACCCTGCTAAGTCTACATTCCTTTGAATATTTAACCCCTGTAGTTGTTTTTCAGTATATTCATGTTATTGATTGAGTCATAATCAGACTTGTTTGCATGCTGATGTGAAGCAGTTAGTGCAGGAGAAGTTGGTATTATGCAGTAATATCAGGTAAATGTGATGGTGAAGTAGTTAATGTAACGGTTTTTCCTCTGAACTGTGTTATCAAAGCACAAATTGAAGTATGGTGGTGTCTCTCCGTGGTGAGAACACGGCTTAAATGCAGATTAAACGAGCTCAGAATCACGGTGTGAGGTTGTGGTGGTGCCAAAGTAGAAATGAAGGAGCAAACAAGCTTAAAAGCTGTTCCCTAGGTGCAAGCGTTGCTTTAGGAAGGTAAGAGTGATGCTGTTCAAGTCCATAACTGTTATGTGATTTCAGTTTTCTAAAAACACACACAAAAAAAAAAGTTTACAAAAAATGTATATGAAAATGTAAATTAAAAAAATGTACAGAAAAAAAATTTAAAATTAAAAAACCGAGCAGAAAATACTGTATTTTTTTACATTGTATGTAACTTTTTGTAGGTCTGTGGCATGTAGATAGTAATTTATTGTGTACTCTGTATGATACAAATACTGTACCTCTGAAGACTTCCTGCTGCAAGTCTCTGCTCCCTTCAGGAGTCCTTGGGTGAGGAACCTACTGAGTCTTGTTTCAGTTGAGAACAAAAATAAACCAAGTGCTGTATTTGTTAACTGCTGGGAGTGGTGGTCGGTCACTTTTTTTTCCCCGCTGTACAGGGTGTTATGATCCTGCAGCTGGATTCCAGGAGTGCTGGTGAGCAGCTGGCAAAGAAAAGGGAGAGACTGCAGCACCGGATGGGAATCGCCTGAGCCAGGGGAGCCCGTCTGCCAAGGGAAATCCTGCCCCGGATGTTTCTTCATGGCCTTCATAGCTACTACTTTTTTTTTGGTTTTTTTTTCTTAAACACAGGAACACACTACAGGAGTTCTCACTTCCCACGTGGAACAGGTGAGGGATGGACACTTGGCACGGGGAGCTGCGTGCGAAAGCCCCTTCTGACTAATAGAGGACTCGCACGTACCGCTGGGAGCCGGTCACAGAATGGAACTGTGCCTCCTGCCAGCGCTTGCTCCCAAGTTTTCAGAGCGCCGGGTGCTTGCTGTCTGGTGTTCTGGCTGCTTTGAACATGAAAGAGATGTTCAGCTTCCACTTCAAAGGTGCCCACTTGGGTCACCTCAGTGCAGCCTCGCTTGGGAGCCGGCAGGAACGTGTGTGTGTGGCGTAGGTGGGCTCGAGGAAGGTAGGAAGCCGTGGGCAATATCCCTGGGTTTACACAGCTTGGGAGATTACCGAAGCTCGAGGTGTGCCATTCAGCCCCTTTTAAGTTCGTCCTGGCTTGGAAGAGCGTTGTCAGGCTCACTTCTGTGGTGATAATTCAGGTTTCGTAATGTGGTTGGATAATTTAGGCTCCACTTTGATTTTGCCGGGTCAGGTGGCTGCGGATCCCTCCGAGGGGGTTTGCCTGGCTCCCTTCAAAGAACGGGAATTTTGGGGGTTGTTCTGCCTGTTTTTTAATGGCAGAGGAGTGCACGGCTTTAAATGCTGTTTGGGGCTTGCTGGTACCACGTGGTGGGGCTTGGAAGGCTTGCACGCTCCAGGGTTGGAATACGTGCTCGTTTTCATAACTGAGGTGGGAGGGGGCTGAGAGGGAATGCTTGTGTGGGGAAGCCATCCCCTGGGACAGCTCCCAGCTGCATCCCGGTTTTCTGGGATGTGATTCCCTGTGCTTCCGAACCTACTGGAAGTGTAGTGCTGAAGGTTCACATGGGTTTCTGCTCTCCTGTGGCTGGACTGGGCCACAAGGGATCAGTCGTGGAGCCATTTCTGTTCCCAGTGAGTTGTCATTCCATAATTAAATAATGATAATGGCCTTTTAAACAGGGAGCCTGACTTCCCCACTGCTTGATGACATATAACAAGTGACACGGAGCAATAAACCGTTCAGAATAAATCAGTCAGTGTGTTCAGGCCCTGGTCCTTAACAGCTCCCCCTTTTCCTCTGATGGAATAAGAAGGATGTTCCTGTCAGAGCTTGGAGTGTTCTGTGCTTGACAGTAGCATGAAAGGCTGAAACACAGAGTAAAGGGAACAGCTGATCTGAACATCAGCGCTGCCTCACGATCTCGGGCCATTTCTGTGCTTGCACTAACAGGGGGATGAGTTATTCTTGTGATCCCACGTGGCTGTCAGGCCTTTGAAGCCCAACAAAATGTGAGTCAGTAAATCCTCGGTGGACAATG